GGAGTCAGCCGATGGTTTCTCATCTTTTATGTGCTTCACTTTCCTCTTTGCCTTGAGAAAAACTTCCACAGATTAGCCCATGGAACATAGTTCTCCCCATTCAGTTTAATTGAGGTCATCTGTACACCTAGGTAGTCAGAGGAAACCACCACACTAGGTTTCTGATCATTATACCCATCTCCTATTGCTACCATTGTACTCTTTCACAATTGCCTCTAACCTGAATTCTCAGCAACAAGCTGACTGTTGTTATTCAAAAAAAATGATGTTCCAGCACCTATAGCAACTCCTAAACACAACAGTGGGTACACACACCTTGTTCTTATTCACACTACTGCTGATTTCACAACACCACTGACCACATAGGCATCAATTTAACACTCACTAATCACATGTATACCCTCTTACATCCACTCAATAGGGATTGTGCAACATAAGCACCACAACATAGTTAAACCCGTTACACCTAGTTCAGACTAGTTTAACAATTTTAAGAGGGCAATAAACACCCACAAAAAAAACTCGGCTAGGTCATAGCATTACACCTTACACCACTCGGCCACTCATAGCAGCCCTAACACCACTCAACAACTCACAGCAGCCCCTACACCATTCAGCTACTGCACACACAGCCCTTTCTAGGGCAACAATGAACCTAGTTCTCTAGGTTCTGATCGATACTAGCAGCTTCTTTTAGGGTTTCTACCCAGAAATATTAGTAACACAAGAAGAAGAGATAACCGACCTTCCTTTGAGAATATCAACCAACCATTCACTGCTGAAGTCACTTTTCTTGATGAAGAAGGTTATGCGCAGCAGAGAGAGACGACCTGTGATGTTTCAGACCTAGGGCGAACCAGTTCTCTCCATAGACTGACTAGAAACGAAGGAGGACCTGTGACTTTTTCTACATAGACGACCTGTGACTTTTTCTACCCAAAAAAAAGTCACGAACACTGCTAAGGTGCTTTACCAACTGAAGTAGGTCAGGAGCATGGCTCTGATACCATGTTTCGAGTGCTGCTACAGTAGTCCGAACCAGGAAGATAAGGAAGGAGAAGAGGAAGAAGAAGAGAAGAAGAAGAAAGAAAATAAGGGTCTGTCGAAATCTGTTGGATTACCCCTACAGTCGACCCCCTTAATCTTCATTAGATTCTRATGATCTTTACAAAGACAAAARTGCCCTTACTTAAGTGTGGGGCAGAGTGACTCTAATAAAACTGCCACATAAGCAAGCTACTTAACAAGCATAAGAAGACTAAACTACCCCTATTTGGCACACTTTAACACTTCTAATTGACAAACCTTCTAGCCAATCCAGCTATTTGAGGCCAATGAATGCATTTTTTTCAAAAACCACTTAGATGGGATCCTAAACATATCATGCAACCTCATCTGTTACAAGGACCTTAATGAAAGATGGATTAGAGCTCCAGTCCACTCCAAAGTTTGATGTTTTGCATATCCATGTGCATAATGTGAGTCATTTAACACCTTGCACATATACATGATTGAAGTTCAGGTCTATCTGGATCCCTCCCAACCCCATTTTTCAAGTGCTCTCAAGAGAGCTAGTGAGATAATCAACTCTTGAAACAAGAGCAAAGGGACTATGGGAATGGGATAGAGAACTACATGTTGTTTACCAAGACTTCAGGTAGGTTGTGGTAGATTGAATTTAACATCTTAATAAATTAAACCCAAATAAATTGAATAAGAGGGGGGCGGGGTACAGAAAGAAATATTGATAGAAAACATAATTAAAATTGATACCGTCATGGTCCCGTATGGTGGCATAGCGACTGTTAGCAAGTGGGCAAGAGCTTCGGTTGCAAATTCCAGTCACATTATATGGGTTCCGACAGAAATTCCCAGTTGTGATCCTGATAACCAAACTAAGTGAGATGGCAAAGAATAAATTGAATAAAGCCTAGACATGTAATTAAATAAAACTAACAGCTTTTTCTTCTTCCATTCACTTATTTTTTTAATGTCTAGAATCTAGATTTAAGTGAGAGTCAAAGAAAATAGTTTATATACTTACTTGGCCATAAAACTACAGTGGTTGTGYCTGATGACTTGCCATATAACCTCATCATGCTGCATCTCCGCTTCTCTTCTTGCCTCTTCCTTCTACTTCAATTAAAATATGTACAGCAACTGGAAAGTCAAAAAAATAAGTGTGTTAAAAAAACATTGTAATATTTTTTTCTGGAGACATGGTTTGCTGAATCAGAACAAAAAAATTGTTGAAAGATGCCCAAATATCATAGTGTATCCAAAATAAAAAATGACACAGTACCAAACACCTCTTTACGTTTCCAATTGAAAAGGATTGCATGCTGGACTCATTTCCACTTTGAATTCAGTTAGTTAGAAGGAACTTTTCTTGAAGTCCACACCATATGTTGTCATTTTATGCACATATTCTTCAATCTTCAATTATTTTCCATGCAACTTTTCTCCATGGAAAAATTATAGAGCAAGGATCCAGCAACCAAAATAGCAAATTGATGAACAGCTTCAGACTCCGTTTTTTTTCTCCTTTGCCAAAATAATAAACAAACTTGAGAATATCGTTAAGGATTTCCTTTGAGAATAAGGAGTAGAGAAGAGGGATCATGTCCTTAATTGGAAAGGGATGTGTAGGAGAAAAGCAGATGAAGTAGAGAGCTGGGGAGAGTGAAAGACAAAAATGTTAACTCTTTTAGGCAAATGGCTAAGGAAATTCCTTTAGAAATACACTCTCTTTGGAACATGGCGATTCAGATTAATTTTCTGGATGTAAGATTCCTTGGTCATACATATAGGGAAGCCCGCTATTTTATGGAAGACCAAAGAACCTCACATGTTCTATCTTAACACAAGCCCATACATCCTGGTTTACCCAAAAGATAAAATTCCTCTGTACACTATTTCGTAGCAAGAAAGCACAAGAATATCAACCTTGTTAGCTAAACCCATCTCTCAATCATCACCTGTTATTCCTCTTATTAGGGCCCTCCTCCCTGGCAAATCAAGCTAAATTTTGACTGTATCTCCCAAAGCAACCCATGTCCCAAGTCCATCAAATATCGAATGAGTGAACTCATAGTTGTCAAGGAAATTAGGAAACACCTAGGCAATAAGGCACTCATGGAGGGTTGCCTCACTTAATCACCAAGATATTTCTTGCACAGTGCTCTTGAATACTTTTACATCCTTAACTTTTTGAAATTATAACAATAATAAAAAGACATTATTAAACTAAATCGTTCGGTTTTTGAGTTAATATACTAGTTTCTTTTTATTATTTTTCTTATTTGTTAGGGTTCAATCAAAATTTATACTCTCTTGAACCTTCGACGACTTAAAAACCTGAACTGATAAGCAAGGAAAAACTCAAAATTTTGCATAGCGTCTTTCATCCTTTCTTTTCTTCTTTTCCTAGGATGAAAATAGAGGCTCAGCCCCTTTATTTTCTGAAATTCTTTTCTCTCTTCCATTTTTTCATGAATATATTTTATATGAAGATTATAGACAATCAATAGATGGTTGCTACTTGCTATGGAACCTAGGGAATTACCCAAGAACTCATGGCTTTTATTCAAAAATAAAAAAGAAAAAAGAAAACCATCAATTAGGAAACAAGGCACTCCCCTGTTGCTTAGCCTTGCCTTGGCACCTTGAAAACCATGGGTGATCTTCAAATCTAATTATGGTGTGTTTTGGTCTTAGTGTGGCCCTACTGATCGTGCAAACTACTAAAACCAAGTTCATGCCTTCCTTTTAGATTCCCAATAGAAAAACAAGCCACCACCATCTCTTGTCATGGAAAATGATTCAATAAATGCCATTAAATGGGGGCATAAAACCAAAGTGTGGGTAAAGGCACATGATATGTTGTCCATTTCTTAACAAAGCAAGAGAGAGAAACTAAGGCTGCAACTTGGGCCGGGTTGGCCCGATCCCAACCAAACTTTTCGGGTTGGGTTGGGTTGGGTTGATGCTCGGGTTAGGATTAGGGTTGAAATTCATGAAGCCGACTTTATTTCAGGTTGGGTTAGGGTTGACCCCTTGGGCAACCCAACCCAACTCTATAGTATATGTTATATATATTATATATCATACATTGATTTGTTTAGATGTATGATAGTTGCATAGCCTTCACTACATACTATCATGTCTTTCTTTTAAGATAATCACTTCACTTAATCCTAAATGAAAAGACTAAAACCTTAATAACATATTTTATGTTTTTTGAATATTTTATTCTTCATCTCCTCTCTAATGTTTGCCACCCATAAAAGTTCTATCATAAGTCATAACTCATAATAAACTATAGTCATTTCAAACACTTATTTTTCCGAATTTTGTACTAAAAAAACGAATAATAACATCAAAAAAACAAATACTAATAAAACATAGGATTAATATATATAGTGAAAATTGAGTTAAGATTTGAGATTAAATAGTTTTATGAGATTTTAAGGGATGAGAAGAAGGTTGGGTTGGGCCAAACCCAAAGTTGACTTCGGGTTGGGTTAGGGCTGAAGGAATTTAGTTAGGGTTAGGGTTAGGGTTGGGTAGATCGGGTTGAAGGTCAGGTTGGGTTAGGGTTAGGGTTGGGCTAGGGTTGGCCTCAACCAAGCCCGACCTGCAGACCTGAGAAAAATTAGCTACATCTAAGTTGAAATTAGACGGAACCCCCCATTGGTTTGAACTATATAAGAAAAAATTTTTTTTTGAAGAAGGTAAAGTATTGTATTGAAAATTAAACAAAAGTACATCAGCCCATGTACAAAGAGGCTGTACAATGGGATTATACAAAAAGATCATCTAAAAAGAAGGTTCAACTTGCACAGAAGAATTCAGTTGGACATCCTGAAACAATCTTTGTACACCCAGTCAAGAACATAGCTGACCAAAAAGATTACTTTTGATTTCCTACAAATTGGAGTATTTATTATCAAAAATGCAATGGTTCCTTTCCTTCCAAATTTCCCAGATGATAGCAGCTGGGAATCTGTTCCATAAAAGTTTACCCCTCCTGTTTAAAACATTAATTGTCCAAACTTGCAGAAGCTGTAAGACTGTATTTGGAAAGCATAGATGAATACCAAAGCAGGATAGTGCCATAACCCACTGCTGAAATGAAAACTTGCAGTGAATGAAGAGGTGATCCATGGATTCTGTAACCTCTTTACATAAGAAACATAGGCAGGCCTCTTCTCAACAACCTATCTATAGTTAAATATCTACCATGGGCTGCTGTCCATACAAGAAGCCAATCTTTGGAGGTATATGGGAGCACCAGATTCTGGTCCAAGGGAAAGCAATAATTTGACTGTCTTGCAATTGAGAAACATTGTCATAGAAGGATTTAACAGAGAACTTGCCTGAAGTTTCCAATGACCAAATTCCTTCATCTGCCATTTAGGGGTTGGGCTTTATACCCTGAATGAGGTGTGGTAGTTCATCCAAAGGACCAACTTCCCAGTCATTATGAGCCACAAATGACCTCTTCATTCACCTGGTCATAGCAATCCTGCACCACTGCATCTTTGTTTTGGGCAATATTGAAGAGAGAGGGAATCTTTCTCTCAGTTTGAGATGCCCACAGCATTTTTCATGCCAAATTCTGATCTGGTTGGATCTGGTTGCCCCTGCCTAACTTGAAACTGATTCCTTTCAGGAAATCCAGGAGAGTTTTGAGGATGTTGTCCCACCAAAGACTTGTAAGACCATATTTTCCTGCTATAACTCTTCTCCACAGGCTTCTCTTTCCTTATGGAACCTCCAACACCGTTTACCAAGAAAAGATTTATTGGTTTTTCTCATATTTCTGATACCAAGACCCCTATATTTTCTTGGCTGACATACAGCGTTCCAGTTCACTGGGTGAAATTTGAAGCTATTTCTCCATCCATCCCATAAGAAAGTCCTCCTTCTCTTCTCTAGTTGTTTTTCCACTCCAGCTAGGATTTGGAATAAGGATCAATAGTAAAGTGGGAGTGAGAACAAAACACTTATGACCAGTGTAATCTTGCCACCTTTGGATAAGTATTTGGCCTTCCACATGGCCATTTGATTGGCTACATTTCCTTCCCCAGTCAGAGATGATTCGTGCAATAAATGGGGCAGAAGGGGCATTTTTTTATTTTGGCAGTTCTTTGCGTACCAAGTTTTTGTGTGTGTGTGTGTGTGTGCAATTGGAAGAGAGATGTTATTGCACAGTCTCTGTATTTCTGTACATCTATGTACTCATGCATACCTCTCTTTGACATACATTAATAACAGACCTTTATATCGTTTCTCAAAAAAAATGATATGGGATATCTGATAATACATGCAAATTAGTTCCAGATGGATTAGCAAAATAAGGTGCTAAATGTTCAGCTGTTCTCTCCAGCTTTTTCTTGGCTCGATTTTACTTCAGTCTACATCCTCTCATGTACATCCTTTGATATAAAATGAAATTTCTGTTATTTCTTCTCCCAAAAAAAAAAAAATAGTTCCATATTAATTAGCCTATATCTGGTAGTTCATGTCAGTCTTGTCAAACGCGAAGGGGTTTCATTCTAAAGTGACGCCACTGATGCAGAGCAAAAAGAATTTACAAAAGGCCTAGATACAATTTATAGAATCAGTGTAACCAAGATAAGAATGCTCGTATGGCTCTTTAGAAAGACCAAAGGGAAAAAAACGAAGCCCAAAGAAAAATTAGAACGTTTAAGCAATTTAGGAACAGCCCCAGTAAGCAATAAAGGGGCTAGAGTATATGATTTGAGCATTTAGAGAACACATCAAAGACAACTACAGAAAGGAAGAGTGTCGATGCAGGTTAAAGGCGCTAAAAGGTTTAGGAAGAGAATCAAACAAGACATGTATTAAGGTTGAGGAAAATATTGTGATCATGAGATCTAACATAAAGGCATTACTCCAGAGAAAAGGTTAGTCCTCTAAGAGTGAATGGCTGTCATTAACCCATATAAACGACATATATTTTCTTGAGGATGATCCTAATTGTTCAGGCTCTAGATTCCTCTATACACAAAAGTAGTTCTTATTACTGCAGATGGAAGAATGCAGGGCAAAAAGCCAAAAACAAGAAGTTAGGCCAATTCATTGCAACTTAGAAAACATCATTCTATCAACACAAGAATTCAATGCAACTTACAAACATATGAACAGGAATTCCTGTTCGATGTGATTGAGATTTAATAAAATGGAGTAAATGCAGTTCATCTAAGGTAGGAGAAGAGCAGAAACGAGGAAAAACCAGAGGTATTAACTTCAACTAAGGTACCGAAAGTACGATTCTCCTCCCAATAGTTGTTCTACTGATCGAAGACAGATTTTCCAAAGATAGAGGCACCTGAAGCTTCTTCTGTTGTTGATAGTGGAAAACAGAGTTTGCGGCGTCTGAGGTAGCGGTAGCGGAAAACAGAGGGACCGTGAGAAGACTGGTGGCGAATGGCCACTAGAAAACTTCGAACAGAGCTGACGTGAAGATTGGAGATAGAGGCGCCGAGAGGTTGCAGCGATGAAGCTTCAGTCTTCTTGTTCAAACGGTGAAAAGCGGAGGTGAAGGCAGTTTGCAGAGGCTGAAATTAGAAAACTTCGAACCCCAAACCTGACGACCCTATGGGTACCCACGACCCAACCCACCCTAACCCTTTTGCTATAACCCAATTCAGTTACCCTACCCAGATTTGGCCCGCTTGTAATATGAGGCACATGACATGATGACTTTAAAGAATCCGATCCGTTACGAAATTCGATTTATCCGAATTCGAAATTGAATATCTTATCGGATATCATTTGTGGGAACGCTGATTATTGCTGAATGGGCATGATACATGACTGTGTGGGCTCATTTTGAAGATAAAGCCCAATTTGCTGAATCACTTCCAGCGATATGGTATATTGATAGAAGTGTAGAACATTTTGAAAAATATATTTGTTCCTTAGTCCTTACCTGTCAAATTAAATAAAGGAGAATACAGCCATTCCCAAACTTAACAAGAGCTTCTTCTTTGTTAAGACTTGTGTATAAAATTGCTGACCCACTTAGATGATAGCATGGACAAGCTGTGTTGTAATCCCATTTGGGTTTAAACTGAGTTGTGCTTGGCACTATTAGGGGTGAGCATTTGATTTATTTGGTTAAAAATAAAATTGAATAAACCAAAATTTAAAAATCAAACTAGTAAAATAAAAACAAATCAAAACCGAAATTTTTAGTTTAATTTTCAGTTATTTTTGTTAAAATCGAATTTTAATAATATATATTCTATTATATATATTATAACATATAATATATATTATATATTATGAAATCAAATTTTAGTATATTATATATTAATTTATACATATATACTATATATTATATGTTACATATTATATATTATATATTACATATAATAATAAAAACTTTGATTAATTCGATTAATTAAATTTCTAATTCTAAAAACCATAACCAAAAACCAAATTAACCGAACCAATTTAACCAAAAACTGAAAAAAACTAAAACCAAAATTTTTTGTTCGATTTTTCGATTTTAACTGAATAATGCTCACCCCTAAGATAGTCCATGAGAAGAGACAGTTGAATAATAAGTGGTTGCATTGTTTCCATCCTCCGAAGCTTTTATTTGGAGTGTTAGAAGTAGATGGGTGCTTTGAAAAACCTGGATTGTTCCACTGAAAGTGAAAAATCTAGAGTCCCAATTCTAGAGGAGTCCCCTTCTACCTTTATAAATAGGGAAAGGGTCCTAGCTCTTACACACAAATTTGCACAAGCAAGAGAGGCCTCACTAAGTGTAGGAGAGCAATGGAGAGCATGGTTTTAAAAAACGATCCGAAAACGGAATCGTTCTAGCAATAAAAATAAAAAATGGCCAAAACTGTTGAACGGGTCAATAGTTTGACCGCTCGGGTCAACAAGTCATTGACTGATTCAATAGTTTATGGCTAGGGACCAGGTTTAGGGTAAAATGGAATTGGTTGCCTGAACGGTTCCTGGGCTGAATGATCCGATCATCCGAGTCAACGGTGGTTCAAAAACCATGATGAAGAGAGTTGAAAAGCCCACAAGATCAGCATTCTAGCTTTCATGAATTGGATTAGCAGTGGAACCCGTTTGGCACGTTTTTCTGCATGATCTGCCAGTTATTTATAAACCCAGCAGACAGCGTTTTGGTCTTTTCCCATTTGGTTTATGGCCCCAATCTCCATCTCCTTCATTTAGTTATTTTGTATTTTCTACGTGAAAAACAAAGGCTTTGCTTCAATTTTAAGCATTTACATTTGATTTCCAAAATCCTGTATTAAGCACTTTTTGAATGTGAAAACAAGTAGAAGAGTATGTTAAATGTGTTTTGATTCAGTTTTAAATGTAAAAACTCAAGTTTTAAAACAAATTTTTACTTCAATTTTAAGCATTTACATTTGATTTCCAAAATCCTGTATTAAGCACTTTTTGAATGTGAAAACAAGTAGAAGAGTATGTTAAATGTGTTTTGATTCAGTTTTAAACGTAAAAACTCAAGTTTTAGAACAAATTTTTGGGTTGATCAGACCTGTTTGATAAAAATTGCTAACATTTGTTGTCGGGGTGGTTGGGGACGCTGGAATAGGGGGCTACTAAATTCTCTTTTCAGTTTTCATCTAAGGTCGTTCGCTTTTTAGTAAGTTATTTTATCTAGTGATGTTATTTGAGTAAGCTTTTTATGGGAAATACTTATCCGGGTAAGTATTTATTTATATTCTTTTATTTTTTATTAAATAAGATAATGACCATTTTAACCATAAAAATTCATTATCAAAAGGGGCATTTTTGTCCCATTCAAGTGTTGGCAACTTTTCAATTAGGTGAAAAATTTACTCACTTAAGAGAGATACCCAAGAAAATAAACTTTTCCTAATTCCCATATTATTCTGAAAAAAGAACATTAGATTATTGGTCAATGGGAACAAAAATCCTATTGGCCACATTCCCCATTCTCAAAATCCAAAAAAATAATGCCCACCAAACCTCACCTAAAAAGACAATGCTTTTGTTGCTGTCAAATATGAGACTGAGGGCAACAAGGGAATTTCACTGATGTCCGAGGTCGATGGATCCGACCTGTCTACAAGAGAGAAGTACACATCAAAGGCCCTAGGTGTTATCCCAGGGGCGAAGACTCCGACAGTCAAATTAGCCAAGTGCTTAAGAGGGATCAGATCGTGCTATAGACGAGGGCTCATAGCTTAATTCTTAATAGTCAATAATGATTCTCTTGAAATTCTGAATGTGAGTGAGTGTCTTTACCTTGAGATGAGTATCTCCTTTTATAAATGACCTTGCCTTGGGAATGGTTGGAAGCAGTTGGTGATGTGCAATCAAAATTTGATCTAACCAATGCCACATGACATTGATCCAAGGCCCGCCAAGTATCCCTACATCAGTTTTCATTCAAATCTCAAGTGCTCTAGAGCCTAAAGGTGCAGTAGGTGCTCCTTGAGCGCTCTGAGTACGATCCAACCAAGTCACCGAGTTAACTCGATGAGTTTAGCCGAATTAACCCACCAATTCGAGCAAGTGGACCTAGCGAATTGAGACAACTCGAGGTGATTTGACCTACCTTATTCGATATGATAGTTCAAACCATTGATCTGGACCATAACTAATTTCATGTCCAGATCCAAGGCCCTCCAGAGATCAGATTCCAATAAAATCTGGTACATTGGGGTTCTTTTGGCCTTTTGAATCCACCCATGTGTTTTCCATGCCCTAATTCACACTAAAACCTAGCGGTTCAATCTTGATTTAGTAAAACCCAAATCTTTGACTAGCTTGTTCAAGGGTTTCCCTCCATAGTTTTCTAAGGTTTATTCTATCCTCTCTAATAGAATTTCATGGATTTATGAATTGGTTCACTAATTTTACTTGTCTTTGACGATGTTTTTAATATTTATTTACAATTCCATTGCATATTATTGTGATATTCTTTGATGTATGCCCATGATATGTGATTCCATTATGTAATGATCTGATGCATCACTGTTTTGTCTCAATTTATTATAAATTTCATGTATGTATATGTCATTTTACAGGGAATTGAATCATCTTGGACAATCCCTAATACTAGAACCATTTTAGTTGAATTGAGTGTTTAGTCACCAAAGTGGCACATTCATGAAATTCTTGTGGTTCTAAGTGTAAACAAACAGTCTGATTGAGCTTGTTCAATCAAATGAAGATGATTAATGTAAACAATCTGATTGAGAATGAAGTATCTTATGCCCAAGGTGTAGATATTTTGAAAATCAGGTTGTCTACAGGTCCAAAAGGTGATAATTCTTTCACCAGTGAGAGACTAACATGGTGATAATCTTAGCCCTATTACATGGACAATTGATTACATTCACAATTGATGGTTTTTATATATGTTCTTTGATTTTGTAAAGCTTAATGGATATACCCATCAGTTGAACTATTTCTTTTGTGATTTTTTTTTTTGCATGTATGTGAGTAATGTTTATTGCTTAGTGAAAATACTAGAAGTTTTATCAAATAAAGTGAGGACCCTAATTGAATTTAAATTCTTGTATTAGAAAGATGAAATCATATTTGACTTAGGTGTTGCTAGTTCCAACTTAGGCCTTTAGGGCAGATGCACCTCCAAAGCCCATTGAGAACAATGGTGTAGAGGAGAACAAAACATATGAAGTATGGGAAAGGTCTGATAGACAGCCTGATGTACATTAAAAGAAATCTTTCCAAATATATCAAAGGGGCCATCTTAGGCAGACCATTGACCAAGGAATATCTTCAAACAATTGAAGAACATTGTACATCATCTACCAAATCATTGGCCAACACTCTGATGATATAATTAGTAATCATGAAGTATGTTAAACATAGTTGTGTACGAGAGCATAACATGAAGATTTCAATCATTGAAAACTAATTAAAGATAGTGGTGTTCGCAGTCTAATTTGGTTCAGTTTGAAGAAGATCTCAAACCAAACTAATAAGTTACAGCTTGAGAAATTATTAAACCAAACCAAACCATTTTAGTATAAAAAGTTAGAAACCAACCCATAATAGTACGATTTGATCCGGTTTCTAATTTGATTTGGGTCATTCTATTGGGCTTAATCCAATTACAAAGTCCATATAACATGCATACTTGCATAAATAGCAAATATAATTCAAATATCAAATTGAAATGTTAACAAGTGTCATTTATTGCTATTATATAAGCTGCATTCACATTTTCTCAAGCATAAACAACTCTTTGGTAATAATTCAGTTTAATACAGTTTATTGGTTTGGTTTGGTTTCTAAAATCTAAAATACCAAACCAAATAAAAAAATATATTATGGTTTAAGAAATTCTTAGACCAAAGCAAATCATTTTAAGGCCAAACCGCCAATTACAGTTTGGTTCGAAGCAGTTTTGTGGTCTAGACCATATCATGAACACCCCTAATTAAAGACCTTGGACATGAAAGTCCCATGGTTTTAAAGAAAACATAGTCGATACTTAAAATTGACATGAAGCTTGTCTCTAGCATCTATATATTAAAACAAGCGTTCAAGAAATTTTCTCCTTTTTTGTTTTTTTTATTCCATCTCATTTTTTAAACAACCAATGAGATTCACTTTCGCAA